AGTGAGGTTGGCCCAGGATCGGACATTGTTTCGTTCTGCTGTGCATGGGGTCGCTATGAGTCGGTTCTGACTCAATGGCACCTGACAACAACAACAATGTGATGGCTGGAATTGCAGTTACCATGACAGGGCCAGACAAAATTATTTCATGGGCCTGACATTCCCCACTCCTGTTATACAGGGTTGCTATGAGTCAGCTGACTTCGAGAGCATACCAGAAACAACAAGAAAAGGATCACATGGTAGGGAATATGTGGACTGAACCACTGGTTCAAAGAAACAACCTTTTCTGATTGTTGTTAAGTGCCATTAAGTCAGTTCCAACTCATAGCGACCCTGTATAGTGTTTCCAAGGAGCAGCTGGTGAGTTTGAACCACCGACCTTATAGTACAAACCAACCTCAGAAACCCTATACCAGGTCATTATGCACCGGAACTGACTGAAGATCACACAACAACAACCTTTATATGGCACTGTAGGATAAGCATTAGACTGCTAACCAAAAGGTTGGCAGTTCAAACTCCACCAGTTGCTCCTTGGAAACACTATACTGGGTTGTTATGAGTCAGAACCAACTTGAAGGCACTTAACACCTACAATCTTTATATATTTGTGAGTATACTCTCATTTTCCATCCCACATATATCCAGCCTGTGTATCTGTGTATCTACCCGTAGATTGCTTTCATTGCAGGATTTTGAATATAACAGCATTTACGTCTGTTCCCATTAACTCTTGCACTCCTCCCAGTGTCCTCCCCTGCCTTCATCACTCTTTTGCCAACCTTCCTCTTGTATATTGCCTTCCTCTTCACCCAAGTTAACACATGTCTTCCTTCTAGCCAGTGAATTACTCCCCCTTTCCTTCCCACCTGGTAAATACTTTTTCTGTAAATGAATATTCCATTTTGCCGGCACCATTTATTAAAAAGGCAATCTCTTCACCCATTTAATGGGTTTTGAGTCTTTGCCAAAGTAGAGGTGGATAGATTTACTTTTGGATTCTCAATCATTTTCTATTGTTCTGTGTGTCTGACATTGAACAAAACCAGGCTGTTCTGACTACTGAAGCTGTAGTGCAGATTTTGTTGTTGAAGAGAGTGAAGCATCATCTTTGTAAATTCCTACCAAATGGTATTTTTTCCTTATATGTCAGGATAAGAAAAAAGTAGAGGAAGATGCTGATGAGTTATATAATTCAGTTGTGAGTGATTGATTACAGGGCTAAGTGTAATTACTCAATTTTGCCATCCTGCTGGGTATAAAATGAGCCATCTCAGCAGCAGAGAAAGGATCACACTATTATCAAGAAAGAAGAGCCAGGTAAGGAAGGCATTATTTGGAGCCTGAGATCTCTGCACATTGAATCCTTGATCATGGAGACAGAGCTGTGGCATATGAAGAGAGGAAGCAGAAGAACCAAGAGCCAGAGTATGAGACAGAATGGTGAATTTCCTGACCCAGGGAGTACGCAGGAGTCTCACTTGTGGAATCGCATACCTCCAGGCACGTAATTAGGGTAGCTAGGTTTGCTAGCCCACAGAGCTAGAGCTGAGTGCCTTCTGGCTGAGACTCAGCGGAGTTGAGCACCTTTGGGCATTTGTTGGCAGCCTTAAAAGAGTTTTGTGACAATACTGGAGTAGGGCAGCTGCCAAGGACCAGACAGAAGACTGACTATGAGCATGGCTGTAAAGAGGCTATCTGGACTGAAAGAACTATACCCTGTGCATTTCTGATTCTGAATTGTAAGCTTTTAACTACCCTAATAAATTCCCTGAGTATGGTTTCTGAATTCTTTGTGGCCATTGCAGTGAATTATCAAACCCATCTGAATACA